TCCCCGAGACCTCACCGCCCCGTGAGAGCATCATCCAGAAAACGGTACGGGGTGCAGAGGGAACCCCAGGTGACTCAGGGAAGGTTCACTTGGGGCTCCCTCTGCATCCTGCACCGTTTAAGCGGAGTTAAAGCCGAGCTAAGATTTGAAGGATGAGGAAGGGCATTCAAGGTGGAGGGAACTGCATGCGTGAAGGCAGGGAGGCAGGAAACAGCCCGCCTGGTCTGGGGACTGTGGGAGGGAGATGGAACCCAGGTGCAGGAAATCTGCTGGGTGAGGTTGGGGTCCCAGAACCCACTACCTGGACCCTCTGCCTCCTTGACCTCCTTTGCTCCCGGCTGCCTGGCCAGGATGAGGCCTCTGCCGACCTGCACAAAAGGAGGCTTTGAAGCTGGAGAGAGGGAGGAAAGGGACCAGCTGGTGTTTATTTTTGGATCGTTTCTCAGAAATCTCCTTCTCTTCCTCCGACACCATAGCAACCAGGTGGCAGCTGGGGAAGCCACCTGTGAGCTGGGCTGGGTTGAGGGGGAGGTGGGCTGGGGGTAGGGACCTCTGCTCCCCCTCTCTGAGCCTCAGTTTTGGCATCTAGAATATGGGCACGACAACCAGTTGCTGGCTCCTGTCAACCCAGGTGCTCCAGGAAGCTGAGGCCCAGGCTGGACTCATCAGGGGGAAGGCCTGGGAGGTAAGGGCGGGGCTGGGGAGTGCCCTGCATCATCCTCCAGCTGGGGGCTCGGCAAGGTGGCGAGGAGTCCCTGAGCCACGTAACCTGCACTTCCCACCGAGCAGCCTGCCCTGGTGCCCACTGCACTGTCACTGCCAAGGAGCCCCCTGGAGGAGCGGGAGACTGGGCCGAGGCACAGACACAGGGATGGATCTCCCTGAGCCCTGCAGCGAGAGGTCTAAGGGGTCTCCCCTGCTGGGGCACAGGGCTCAGCTGTTCCCAGAACCCGGTCAAAGCCCCAAAAGGAGGGGCAGGAAGGGGTCTATTTCCTGAGGCTGCTGCTCCGATGACCACAGACTGGCCTAAACAAGCAGGAACATGTGCTCTCCCCGTTCTGGGGCCAGAATCTGAAATCAGGGTGTCTGGGGCTGTGCTCCCTCCCAGGGCTCCAGGGGAGGGTCCTTCCTGCCTCTTCAGCTTCTGGGGGCTCCTGGCCACATCCCTTCAGTCTTCACCTGGCCCCACCCCCTTGTTCAGGCGCCTTCGCTCCTGTGTTCATGTGGCCCCGCCCTCCTGAGACCTTGCATGGTCTGTTTCCAAGTGCCACCTCCCTGGTTGGCTGGCTGCCCCCTGCTCTCACCCCTGTCAACAGTCCCTCTGCCAAAGTCCTTCCAGAAAATCGTTTGCGCGTGCCATCTCTCTCCTGCTGGGACTGTGAAGCTGGGATTGAAAAGGAGACAGGAGAGCAGTGGCCCGTCCAGAGTCCATGCAAGGGGTCCAGAGGGGCCTGTGCAGTCCCTGGAAGGCCCAGCTGAAGGGTAACCGGGTGCTCTTGCCCTCTGCTGGCCGTTCCTGTACCTGCAGGAGGTAAGAGTCACCCCTGCTGCCCAGCCATTTCCCACCGGGAACCAGCCCAGCACATCATTCCCATTTCACAGATAAGAGCCAGGCCTGGGCGCTCCCCTCAGCCGGGATGGAGCAGAGCTGGATTGGGAATCAGGACGGTCTCTGCTGCTGATGTATGTGGTCCCCATTTTCCCAAACCCAGGAGGTCCAGGGCCCTCTGTGCATCTGTAACTGTGGCTATGTCGTTGTATTACCCTGCAGGGAGGTTGCAAGAGTAAACGTCCCAGAGATATAGACACCCACCTGTATCCATTTGTGGTTCGGGGCTGATTGAATGGCAGCTGCTTCACTTGTGGCCTTTGACCCACTTCAATCTACATTCGGAGAAGCCTTGGTTTGGAGTCAGGAAACCGTTCTTGTCCTGCCTGTTACACCCGCGGAGTCCCTGGGCCTGACAAGCTCCCGGTGCGTGCCTCGTCTCTGACATGACCCCGTGGGACTTAGAAGCTGCCCGAGATCCCTCGGTTCTGAGAGCGTGTGACCCGCTGTCGTAATGATAGACACCTGTGAGTCACGAGCTTATTGGCCCACAACGGAGATAGAAACGAGGGACTTGGTCGCTTCTTCCCCCGCTGATCCAGGACCCCAGTCCAGCCGTGTCTCTGTAACGTTCCCTCTGGCACAGCCCACGGTTCGGTCAAGCTGAGGGCCTCGTTTTCTGCCTCCACAGGTTCGCGTGCTCCTGGTGCTCTCGCAGTTGGGCCTCTGCCCACGTGTAAGTCCTTTTCCACGTGCACTTGAGTAAGAGGGAAACCCCGGGCCAGGTGAAGATGAGCATCTTTGCCCAGAGATGTCAGATGTGCTCTGAGCCTCCATTTGAGGTTCCAGAATTCACGGAAGAGGACGTCTCAAGGATCCTGAACAGCCTGGTGTTCCGGATTCCGAAGAAATGCTGTAGAGAAGGATTTAAGTCCATGGAGGAGATTCCTACAATCAAGGAATCTCTCTTGAAAGGCCCCATGACACTGACAATTGCGAGGCGTGTCTGCAGGGCTTTTGTTACTGCGGAAGGTAAGAGTCCCCTTCACTTCCCACACTAAGCACACCTACCTTTGGGGTCCCCATCTATAAACCTTCTCTCACAAGGAGTAGCACCATAGTGGATACAGTGACAGGGGGCCCTGGGGTGAAGAAAGGAGAGGTCGTGCACAAACCCTGGTTTCCTGAGCCCCCATGGGCTAAGAATCCCAGAGTGAACACCAACTACCCGGGAAGGAGTATAGTCCGGGTCCAGCCCCCCGCCCCCAAGGGAGTATTTGGGTTCCCACACAGCAGAATTGCATGCGCTGCAATTTCAGAATTTGCTTCCATTCAATCATTCTAATCCTAATCATTGTCATCGTGGTGGTGATTGTTATTAAAACCACTATATGAACCTCAGAAACATGGTGCTAAGTTTAAAAAAATCAGACACACAAAGTCACGTATTGTATGATCCCGCTGATGCGAACTACTCAGACTAGGTAAATCAGGAAGTAGATTTGTGTCCCTACTACTGTTGTGGCCGGTGTGGCTCGGTCGGTGGAGTGTCATCCCATGTACCAAAAGGTTGCCGGTTTGATTCCATCAGGGCACGTGCCCAGGTTTCAGATTCCATCCCCGGTTGGGGTGCAGGCGGGAGGCAGCTGATGGATGTTTCTCTTTCTCTCCCTCTCCCTTCAGCTCTCTCTTTGAAACAGGTGATGAAGTTCTGCATTTTGGAGTCATCCAGGAAAAGCTGGCCCTGGTGGTCCATGTAGTAAAAGTACTCGCGAGTGCAGGGCACCGGGCTCTGGCTCTGAGTGTAGGCGACGCCCCCAGCCCCACTGCGGGCCCACACCCCCAAGGACCACGCCAAGGGCAGGGCCCAGGCCCAGAGGGCCCCGCACACCAGCCACATCCTCCGCATTGTTTTTTAAAACCCATATAGTGACATTATGTTATTTCCCCGAGACTGTCATCTTCTGAATGTGTTGGACAGGTGCCTCTGCTGTAAGTCACCAGCAATATGACTAACCTGGCTGGTCTCCATTACTGGTTCTGGTGCTTTAAGTTCTTTCTTAGAGTGTTATTGGGGGCAGGGAGTCAAGGTTAAACTGTCCAAAGAGCAGTAACACAATGGAGTTCTTTAGCTTATACCCGCCCATTCACCAACTGGGCTACATGAATGCCCATTTGCCTGGTACATTATGGTGACTTCTGGATTATTACTGCCTTCAGAACTTAGTTTAATTTAAAAAAAAATAAAGTAAGGCCTAAATGTATTGTTAGCCAAAAAAAATGACTGTGTATTAGTCCAAGCTGTTGCTTTAGTTCTCAGTGGCTCCCAACCTGGGGTCCTTTCCTGTCAGTGTTTAGATTCAGGCAAGACAGAAACCAGTCCCTCCCGCAGCCCCTGAAAAGGTCAGAATGTTGGGTGTTGGGTCCACTCCTCTCCCTTCCTCCCCAGGGAGAAGCTGGGAGCTGAGGGTTTCCTTGTGATCATGTGCCGCTGTGCGGGGGGAGAAAGGAATTATGGCAAGACCGAGCCACAGATGTTCCAACCAGCTCCAATACAGCTGGGTTTGTTCTCACACTGGGTACAGGATCCTCAAAATTGATCTTAAGGTTTCTCAGAAATGGAATTGGTCTGTGTGCTGTTCAATCAGTGTGTCCGCGGGGGCATGAAGGGTCTGCATCCTAGAGTGTACTCTCTACTCATAAGAAAAAGTCTGCTGTAAACTACTGTGCCATCTTATGCTGGCAGCAACCTCATACATTTTGTCTACCCTTGACCACTTTTCCCGATACCCTCTTCTACCTCCTGCCTCTGTGCAACAGTCCTGTTCCTGGGAAGAGTTGTCTGTTCCCACTGTGTCCACTTCTAAGCTCCCACTTGTTCCTTAATTCTCAAAGTATATGATCCCTCATTATCACCCCTTACCACCTGACCTTCTCCGTCTCCTGGCTTCGCTTGGTTCTCTCTAGTCCCCTCCACTACTATGTAGTGGTCTCCAGGTCCTGCATTTAGCACCTCCCCCCTCTCAGTCTTACACTCTGCCTGGCTGCTCCTGTCCACTTTTGTGCCACATCTGCCCTATGCAGGTGACCCCCCACCCACCCAAAACCTAACTCCAGCCATAAGATCTATCCCAACGAACAGACCCAGGTTCCCAACTGCACCCTGAAAGTGTCCTCCTGAATATCACAAACACCTCAAACACAACACATCCAACACTAAATTCTTATCTTCCAAAATCTTTCTTCTCTGCATTCTGTGTCTGTGTAAATGGCACAACTATCCACCCGCTTGCCAAAGCTAGAACCCTAGAAGTCTATTTGATTCTTCTCTTTCCATTTCTGTTCCTACATTCGAACTGTGTCTCTGTGACCCATAAATTCAGTGGAGTCTTTGACCCGAGTTCCTAAGTTTAATATGTGTTAGTACTCTTTAAAGAAAGACTCAGACATGCTCGTTCTAGTACTTTATTGGAAATTGGTTGTGTACATCAATGAGATCAGGTCAAAGTAAAAGCATCATGTTCACACAATAATATCCTGATATCTGTGCTATCTTTTTACATAATTTAATAAATCCAATGAGGCTCCTGATTTGAGTCAAAGAGCTTGAGTGGTCCAGAAATCTCTTTATATAAATATAAATCATAGCATCTAAAATAACCATTATTGTTTTGAGCTAGTTTCCAGAGTCCTGGGAACATCTCTTAAAACATTAGTCTGTACCTCGGATTGTTTGCAGTGCTGGTGGGAGTGAGTGAAGGGGGTACATATACCGTGGAGCTAATTCTAGCAGGAGCTGGGGCAGCGGGGTCACGAGGCGCTGGGGACTGGAGATGCTGAAAGCTGGCCGGGGAACTCCGCTACCCTGCATTTCCCAACATTGCTGGAGTGTCAGAGCTCTGAGACTCCAGAGCAGAAAGAGTTGCCCTAGCTCCCTTGGCATCGCCAGGACGTGGCAGAGCCCTCCTCCAGATTGTAGACCGGCAGAGGTTCTGGCACAGAGAAAGTCCTGGAAAGTTCCCCTCCCCCTCCCTCCCACTGCCATGATGAATTCCTTCCCAAATTAGAAAACTTGAGGGAGTGGCACATCAAAGAAAATCGCTTTGAGCCAGTGCGCTGCTGGGCCCTTGGAATGAGGACAGAGTGCCTTTGCTTGGTTTGACCTGAGGGGCACTGACAAAGGCTGCTCTGGCCCCATTGTCTCCCTCGCCACCTTGAAGGCCATCATCAGTAATTGGGTTCTTTGGTTCTTCCGAGCTTCTCAGCATCCAGCAGTAACACCTGTATATCGGTGTTGGCTTCATTGCTCACAAACAGCCTTAACCTCCACCACGTCATTGTTCTCACAACCCTATGAGGTAGGAAGGGCAGGGATTGCAATCCCCATTTGAAAGGTAAGGAACCTGGAACTCATGGAATTAGGTCCCCCAGTGGAACTCATGCAGCTGGTCAGTGGCAGAATCAAAACCAGAACTCAGGTCTCCCCTCCCATATCAAGCTTCAGAGTCTACACTCCAAAGTCCTTCCTGCTGCTTCTCTGATAAAGCGGGAGAGCCTGAGGGAGGGGACGCCGCCCTCATCCCTCCCCTGCCCGCTCTCAGCAGGCTCTCAGACAGCCCCGTTGAGGACAGGATGAGTCCGCATGCGATAGATGATGACCGCAGTGGCCGGGCACAGCAACAAGGAGGTCATGATGACAATGGTGGCCAGGATGATGAGGACAATGACCCAGATATCCAGGATGTGCTTGGGAAGCGTGTCTTGCGTGAGGACCTCACTGCCGGGATCCATGCTGCTGCACTCTGTAACAGACAGCGAAGAGGAAATCACTGTTTTGTACCTTCTCCCTGCCTCCCTCGTGGGGAGAAAACCTGCTCCAGGAGTCAGAAACTCGAGTCATTGACGAGCTGTGTGATCTTTAAAGTTGCTTGATCAATAATAACAACGGCCTCATTCACGGAGGGCTTCCTATGTGCCAGGCACCGTGCTAGGCACTTATAGGTACTAACTTAGTCCTCACTTCAACCACCAACCCTAGGAGGTAGGGACTCTCAGGGCTTTTTTGTCTGTTGCCCTTTATCTTCAGTTATTCCCATTTTAAAGACGAGGACTCTAAAGCCTTACAAGGTGTAGATGTAGTTGATTTGCCTGAGGAAGTGAAGCCAGCTGGGTGGGACTCCAGCGCCTCGATGTTCAACTATTAAACCACCAAATTCCCAGTGTATTTATTCTCCTATAAAATGGGAGATTCAATGCTTTTGGTCCTCTACCCCTTTTCCCATTCTCCTGGTAACAGAACCCCCTCTTTTCTGTGAAGAACCTACACACTCCATGTCTTAGGGTGCTCGCCTGAGGACAGGGGTGGATATGTGACTTGGGCTTGGCCATTCAAAATCTCCATAGCCTCAATTCAGGAACAGGCGAGCAACCCAGGGTAGATCGACCAAAGTCCTCCCAGGGCTCGTATGCACAAGCTATTGGGAAAGATGACCCTTTCTGCTGGGATGCTAAACTGAAGGGTGTGAGTCTGGAAAGGATGGGTGTGGGGCTATCTTGCCCATATGTGGAGCGCCTGTGCTAGAGAAGGAAAGAAAAATAGAGCCTGTTTTGAATCCAGCCCAGTCTGACGCCATCTGCAAACCAGGACATCCCAGATTATAAACCAACTAGAGGCCCAGTGCACAAAATTCATGCACTCGGTGGGGGGCCCTCAGCTTGGCCTGTGCCCTCTTGCAGTCCGGGAACCCTTGGGGGATGTCCAACTAACAGTTTATGCGCACTCCCCACGGACCTAAGCCATCAGTGGGACATCCTTAGCGCTGTGAGCCTGCTTCTGGCTGAGCGGCACTCCCCCTGTGAGAGTGCACTGACCACCAGCGGGCAGCTCCTCCTTGGTGGTCAGTGCGCATCATTGTGACCGGTCATTCCACTGTTTGATTGATTTGCATGTTAGCCTTTTATTAAATAGGATGGTTTCTGGGTTTTGCTTAAGCATTGCCAATTTGGTTTCTCTGACTTGGAGCTAAAAGAGTTCTGATGGATACAATATATAAATCAGTTGTTCCCAAACTTTTTCAATTCACAGCGCCCTTAATGTCTTAGTAATTTCCTGACAGCACTCCAGGCCAAAAGAAATAGCTAGCAGTTCTGTTTATTACGTAGTTAAGTTCAAGGAACTTAATAAGCATTTATGTCCGAACTAAAATAGTAACTATTTGAAAAAAATAATAGACACAAATAGAAAGAAAAAAATATGTTTTTAATTCTTAACCAGTTATTGAGTAATGGGATGTGTGCAACATTTGGACACTGCACAATTTTTGAAACTTAAGAGTCAGATTGGACAATGAGATGCTCACTTCCTATTCTACATTCATCGGTGTGTAGTACTTGCTGTATCATAGCAACCACCCAAAGCTCAGCTCTACAAATTATAACATCATCAAAAGGAATGTAGTAGGATTAATGTTAAACTGTAAGCTCTCTTGAGCCAGTCGTTTACACAGTGTCTGAGAGATGTCAAATATCACTATTCTTGTCAAAAATATTAAAGATCTTGCAGTCCCTATACACCCAACTTTCCAGTGAGTTCACTGTGGCTCCCCAGGGCCCAGTGCACAACTTGAGAACATCATACTAGTATGTGATACATTCCCCGCCCAGAGGCTGGTATAAACAACCTCCCAAGGTTCCTTTTAGACCTAAGGTCTTTTTTATTTTATTTTATTGATTATAGAGAGAGGATGGGAGAGGGAGAGAGGGAGAGAAACAGCAATGATGAGAGAGAATCATTGATCGGCTGCCTCCTGCACGCCCCATACTGGGGATTAAGCCCAAAACCTGGGCATGTGCCCTGAGCGGGACTCGAACCCTAACCTCCTGGTTCATGGGTCGACGCTCAACCACTGAGCAATACCAGCCAGACTAGATCTAAGATCTTTAATCCTGGTGATTCTGGGTCCCAGACAAAATCCCCAAGTCCAGTCCTATTTCCTGCTTTTATGTAATTAGTAACTTTTCCTTTCTAGACCCTTTGGCTCCATGCCCACTGTTGCCACTCTAAGTACAGTACTTCTAAGTACAGTACTGATTACCATACTTTGCTACTGATTATAGAGTCCCCAAGATGTACATACAAGGATGCTCGTTTCTGCATTGTTTATTATATCAACCAACGTAACAGAAATGTCCATAAGTAGTAAAATAAAGTAGGGTATATCCATAATGAAATACCTTACCGCAATTCCATTCATTCATTTAGCAAATATGTAGTGCTTACTACACATCAAGCATTGTCCCAATATGTTACAGTATTAACTTATTTAATAGTTATTAAAAGAATGATGGTCTGTGGGGGGAAATTAAGTGCAGGATAATATGGATAGGATCATTCCTTTGGTTTGGATTTCATAGAATTAATCAGATAGATAGGTAAGGGTATAAAAATGAAAAGTCTTTTATGAGCGAAATCCCAGGACAGTGTTAATAGTGATTACCTTTGAGTGTTAGACTGGGAGTGGAAGGTTTTGCTTTTCATTCTTCATGTCTTTCCAGTGTTTGAACTTTCTACATGCGCATGTATTGCTTTTTTTGAAGTTACTGTACTGAAAATGTACTGCGATTGTTATTTTTATTGGTATTTATAGAACATCTGCTAATTGCTTCGAATATTCTAAGATTTATGGGGATGGACATAGATTTTCTATTCACTGGAAGCAGCACAGGTGAGGAATCTCCAGGGCCTAAGAATTTGATTTTGTCCAAGAAGCAACCCCATTTTCTTTCTTTTTTTCTTCTTTTCTGCATTTTTTGTTCTTTTTTTAAAAATTGAGGTATAATTGACATAGAACATTATATTACTTTTGGGTGCACAACGTAATGATTTGAATTTATATATATATATATGTGTGTGTGTGTGTGTGTGTGTATGTATTGCAAAATGATCTCCACAATAAATCTAGTTAGCATCACCACACATAGTTAAAAATTTTTTTTCTGATGATGAGAACTTTTAAGATTTACTCTCTTAGCAATGTTCGAATATGCAACACAGTATTATTAACTGTAGTCACCATGCTGCACATTACATCCCCATGACTTATTTATTTTATAACTGGAAGTTTGTGCCTTTTACCCCCTTCACCCATTTCACCCAGCCCCCACCACCTGCTTCTGGTGACCACCAATCTGTTAACTGAATCTATGAGTTCAAGTTTTGTTTTGCTTTATATTCCACTTATAAGTAGGATTATATGGTATTTCTCTTTCTCTGCCTAATTTCACTTAGCATAATGCCCTAAAGGTCTATCCATGTTGTTGCAAATGGCAAGATTTCGTTATTTTTGAATAATATTCCATATTTATATACCACATTTTCTTTATCCATTCATCCATTGATGGGCACTTGGGTTGTTTCCATGTCTTGGCTATTGTAAATAATGCTGCAATGAACATGAGAGTGCAGCTATCTTTTCAAATCAGTGTTTTCATTTTCTTCTGATAAATACCTAAAAGTGGAATTGCTAAGTCATGTGACAGTTCTATTTTTTAGTATTTGAGGAACCTCCATACTGTTTCCTACTGTGGCTGCACCAATTTACATTCCCAACAGTGCATGAGACTTCCCTTTTCTCCATATCCTCACCAACACTTGCTATTTCTTTTTGATAACAGCCATTCTAACAGGGGTAAGGTGCCATCTCATTGTGGTTTTGACGTTCATTTGTATGAGGTGCTATCTCATTGTGGTTTTGACTTGCATTTCCCTGATGATTAGTGATGTGGAGCATCTTTTCATGTGAATTCTGGCCAGCTGTATGTCTTCTTTACTTTTAATTTTTTTTTTACATCAACTGGATGGAGGGACAAATGGAAACGGGGCGGGGGGGGGGGCTATTTATAATTCTCTGTATTAATAAGAGCAAATACATACATTTATGATGTTTTAAGTCAAATAAGATTCTAGTCTGAGACTAGATCAGTGGTCAGCAAGTGCTATAGAGTGTGCTCAGTGAGAACCACCTGCAGACAGTATAAAAAACACTAATTTCTGGGTCCTATGCCAGATTTAGTGAATTAGACTCAAGAGGAGATGGAAGGGGGGCTTTTCTCCCCATTTCCCAGGTGATTTGAATGCGCAGCCAGGTTTGGGAACCCCTGGACTCAACAATCTCTAAGGCCTCTACAACTCTTTCTAGCACTAGGATTTGAGAATTGATTCCGAGGTGCTCCGTTGCCAGTCTGGTCAGATCTGGGCAAGTCTGAGGTTAAGGAGAAGCCTCTGGCCAGGCTCCCTCAGGCCTGCGGAGGAGGGAGAGGCACTGGCTGGCCCTGCCTCAGCCTTGGAACGTGGTCACTCTCTCCAAGGTCTACAGCGTGGAAGCATGAGTCACCGGGGATGGCACAGTGCTCGGGAGGTATGGGGGCGGAGAGCTTATTCTCTGTGGTCTCCTGACTACATCAATAGCTAGCTTGCTTTGGGCCAAAAGAACCCCACAAAGCTCTTTCTGGTAAACCCATTAACATGAGTCTGTGACTCCAGATGCCAGGAACACATCATCTCCCTGGCTGCTTTTCGTAAGCAAAACCTGTCATTTACAGGAACTCAGGCTTCAGGGCTCATCCACAACCAAGACTCACAGAACACTGAAGCCAGAGCCAACCTTATTTCACAGATGGCAACGCTGAGGCCCGAGGTTCCCCCCTTCACCCCCACTCCCTTCCCGAAGAATCATTCCAAGTCATAAATCAGATCAAGTCGCTGTCCCATCTAAGAAAACAGAACAAGTAAATGAATGAATGA